AGTGAGCGCGTGTAAGAGACGATTAGGGTTACAATGCCCTGGACATGTTTATTGTAACAATAAAACTGGATTGAGAATGTAAAATGTTCATGCTAAATTTAATACTTTGTTCCATATACGTATCCATCCCACATGTTTTGAAGTATTTTTAATATAATATACATAGGCCTACTTTTACGTAGTTTCTTTTTTTACCGAAGGATACGCTAAGGGTTTCATAATAACTCTGTCTCACTCCATATCACGATATATTTATTCCATTAAGGCGAATTATTTATAACTCTAATATAATATAAAATGTATACAATCACTTTCATGTACCAAAACCTTATTCATACTTTCATACCTACTCATTCTGTGTGCCTCAACTGACTTCGGTGCTTGGGAATAAGAGGAGGTCATTTTTATGTCAAACCCGTTAACAGATATTGGCGTGATGTAAAGCATTTTGTACTTCAGAACGCAGCGCCAGGCACGAAAACTTTCTGGATTTCGAGCCTAAAGTCGTTAGGCTGTCTGCATAGTAAGTTAACGTAAGTCACCCGATTCATGACACGAGAAATTTCTAGTCACAAATTCGAGGTAGATTCAATATACATTTTAAGTGTAATTTTATTTGTCAGAAGTGGAATTAAATTCTGTATTACGTTCTTTAGAGGATAATACAGGTACAATATGAACAGTCTAGAGCCTTTTTGTGTCGAATCTTGATTAATCTAACAGCAATTAGAGAAACTTAAATGTTGGTTAAAGTTAATATCTTGGATGCTATCAACCACAAGAAAAGACAGACTTGTTTGTACGAGGCGTTTTTTTTACCAAATATGCAAAGTCATACAAAATAAAAATATCTTTTTGATTACCTAGATCAGTATAAAATCATACGAATATACAATTTCACTTGTAATCAAATCATATTAATTAAATGTCAAAAAAACTTTCTAAATATTTCAAACAATGGTGGGACTATGTATAATTTTTTGCCAGATTTACCTAATGTAAATACTGTATTTTAATTACAGTGTTCAATATCAAGGTTTATTTCAACACACACACTGATAAAGAAAGATGAATACACAGCCAAGTATGTAATAATTGACTACCCATTATGTTTACAGTACGTCTGCTTTCTACAGAGCAATTAACTCGTTCATTTGGTTTCCCTTTGATACACATTGTTAATTTACATTTCATACAATTATCATCTAGTTATAACAAACTAGTTATGCCCAGTACATTGAAACTGTTTTGTAATTAAGATTATTTTCATTTCATGTTTTGGAATTATTTTTATGTAATTCGGTACAGTCTTGTAGGTCAATCAAATCTTAAGGTATCCGGGTCGATCCCAAAACCAATTCTAAACCCAATTTATATTTATTATTTATCCATAAAATAATTATGTTATTGGAACGAGGCAGATGATAGATATAACCAGGGATGAATACACTCCCTTACAAGCAACCTAAAAATGCGTAAATTCGAGCAAAAAATACTTTGACACTAACCATCAACAATTAATTTAACTTTGTCAAAGGATATGTCAATCTCATCGACCTATGCAGATACTTAAAGTTTTTTTTTGTACTTGTAGCAAGATAACTTATACTTTGTACCCAAGCATTGTTATAATAATCAAGTGGTCTCCATACTACAAAGCCTTGCCATAACGAACCAACAGGATGGCTCAGAAGTGCCTTGTTAGACAAGTACTGTTATAATTTGACTTTAGCTCTCAAGTGGGGTTATGTGGGTCAACTTAAGGTTTATAATTAATTCGGGTTATATTATATTAATTTATATTATAAAAAAATATTTTATGGAAATATCACTAGGTGACTTAAAATAGTCATTTTAATGCATTGTCCAATTATAATTTAAAACTCATTTTTTTCAACCTACGTCAATCCATCGCCAGAAGATAATAAAAAAAGAAATAGATAGGTATTTTTTTTAATTTTTCAAAAATGTATTTTCATTTTTATACGAAAACTAATATTCATCGTAAATTTACCATTATTTTATGTCCATTAAAAAAATGTACATTGTAATAGTTACCTACATTATAAATTTTTACAATATCAGTGTAAATATATCGAATAATGTTAGAAGACGCAATTTTTCAATTAAAAAATACTTATATATTATAGTGCTGACTCGTGAAATAAATAATAACGCCTGTTTGTTTTAGTACATAAAAAAATATAATGAAATCCAAGAAGAATGTTTCATATGTATCACGCAAGTGCTATACTGACCTTAACTTAAATTCATTCTTAAACCGTTAATCCACTAGATAGTTATGAAATATCAACATATTTTTGTTTAAATATGTAATTAAATAAAATCATTATTATCCAGATATGTATTTTGCGTTGTTTACAAGACGATAAGTTTGTAAAAAGCAATAGTGCAAAATGAAGGAGGAAATAATATAAATTTTGTATTTATAGCAATACGTATTAAAACTTAGTTAAATGCTATAAATCAAAACTATTTTCGGTGCAGAGATGAACGCCAAGGATGTTGGCGTTTAAAATTTAAATGGTGTATAAATGCTGTTCTCAGTCTCAATGAGCGAGTCGCTGAAAAGGTGTAAAGATTGTGAAGTGGTTTGCTTTCAGACTGGGAACATTTCACTCTATAGAGGGAATTGAAAATGGAAACACGCTTAACCAAATGTACGCTAGGTCCACTCTTTATGCGTTGTAAATATGGTCGAAGAAAATATTCTTTTGTTAATTCATGTACTTTTTTGTCCTTGGATGCTAGGCACGAGCACGGAATCGTTTTACACTTCAGGCTAGACCTAGGGGTTGTGGTATTATCACTTCGATAAAATCCATTGGTGGTTTGGTGGGATTTGAACCCGGGACCTCAGGAACTGAAGTCCCGCGCTTCATAAAATACACTAGCTTGCTCCCCCGTTAATTCATATACTATGTACAAATATATTAATTACACCTAAAGGGATTTTAATATTTAAACATTCAGGAGAGAGCAGGTCTAGAGTTAAAATGTGTGACTATGGTCCCAGAAGCACTGGGTTCAAATCCTCATCCTACCAACCAATCACCAATCAATTTGATTCAAGTGATAATAATGCCACGAACCCCTTTATACCTAACCTGAAGTGACGTGGAAATAATTAATTACTAGCAGGAATTAAGGAAAAAATACACGTGAACTTTCAATATATATATTTTTGGACAAGACCATAAAAAGGTTCCGATATTCACCAAGTATCCTATTAAAAACTACTCTATTTTAAGTTTTAAAAAATTGCATAACCTGTTGCCCTGGCTTTTCATCAAGTAATTTTTTTTATATGTAGGCCTACTTTTATTTTTGTCTTTTCCGATTTCGTCCAAACAATGTTACAAACACATGTGAAATCTTAATGTTTCGTTTGTGTACATTTTATGATTGAAAAAAAGTCAAAGAAGCTGGTTTAAACTACAAAACTAAAGAAACGTTAGCACGTGTAGAGGGCAGATGGAAAACTAATTGAGATTAAGGGAAAGCTAATTAAGAGCGAGCTAAGTAAACTGATCGCTTTCCTTGCTTTAATTTAGAGCTTGGAAAAATTCTCTAAGACTTCGTTCGTTGTAATAACTTATTTTTATATAAAGTTATGAAATTTTTAATTAATTAATTTTTAATTTCATTATGATATACTGAAGAGTTTAAATGTACTAATGTAATGTGTAATGTAGTGTTGTATGCGTATGAGATTTTTCAATGTACTCAAGAATCTACTAAATAAATTCCATTTTGTCTCTAAATGTTTTTTTTACTATTTTAATCCCCTTAGTAAAAGATGTTAAGTATTGGTCTAAAACATTGACTACTAATTTACCAGTAGATCTCTTTGTTGAATGTTCATAGAACGTACTCTTTGGTTTATCAGCTTAGTTTTGAATTAATTTACAATGTTTATTGACTAGATGCGTATTATAACACCCGCGTTATAATAGCCTACCCTTACTGATTTTTAACATTAAAAATATCTAGATATAATCTTTCAATCCTAATTTTAATACTTTTCAAATTTGCAGTCACTGAAACATGTTAAAAGCATGTTTAATTATTCATAGACCATAATCATGAAGAGGTGTGAATTGTTAAATATTAACAAGTGGTTTGTGGTCTGGTTTCACCAATATGGAGCCACAGGTCTACCATTAACGCTTTACTAATGTACTCAAATACTCAGTAGCACCCAATCTTGATTTATCAAAGAATCTGTATCTTATAAATTTCAATAATTGACTTTTATAAATGCATTTTTCGTAAATAACGATTGTAAAATATGAAAATAGTTAGTAAATAAAATAGTTTTTGGATGCTACAAAATGATAACGACCTTCATCTTATGATTTCCAAATTTTTATGCGAATGGATTATAGTATGAAGTCGATTTTATATTTGTAACTATACAAGCTGATACACAATTCTTTATTATACCAGTCAAAGGCAACTTTCAAGTAATTTTAATATTAACAGGATACAGATATGCGCCCTGGAAGAAGTACCTTTGCAACAATACTTTCCACAACTGCTTCTGATCACTCAATAATAAGACTTTATAAACTAAGTTAAAAGTTTGATTTTCATATAGAAGTTACTGAACCATGTGCATAATTAACACAAGAATCCTCTCCTTAATTCAGCACTTGCGGGGTTGAAAGAACGTCTTCTATTTTCGAATTTAAAGACAGCTTTTCCTCATGGAAACCCAGTAAAAAATAGGATGAATCATTAGCTGAGCCCGTTGCACGACGAACAACAAATCTTGGGTTCACTCTGGTGCAAAAGTATTTATTTCTCGTGCAGTTCACTCTTAAAACAGTATAATGGCTGGTATAGACCAGTTCTACTTTGTCAATGAAATGAATATTTTTGAAACAAACACAGACAAACGCACTGTTAAACAAGGCTGCGCATCATCTATGAAACTTGAAAACCAAAATTTGACCAAAAAATATACTCTGTTTCAGAAGTGTGCTGTCTGAGGCTGACTGAAGTGCGGATAGAACAACACACTGTGCGAGGCAACACCTCTCAGCTGTTGTGTCAATTCGATCTTCAGGGAGAGACTTTATATTCCGTCAAGTGGTACAAGGACGGTAACGAGTTCTTCAGGTTTCTCCCGAGGGACAATCCTCCAGCCCAGATCTTCCCTCTGCCTGGCGTAGCTGTTGATGTAAGTCTTGTAGTGGTACTTTGATAGAACATAAATTTATGTTAGAGATTTAAATGTCCTATGACGCTAGGATCTAGCCCGGGATTGTTTTTCAAAACACTTCAGGCTAGACCCAGAGGTTGCGACAGGATCACTTAGATAAAATCCATTGGTGATTTGGCAGAATTTGAAAAAGGGACCTCAGGGACCGCATTCCCGTGCTCTACCACTTGACTAACTTGCTTCCCTAATAGGGAGATTTTTTATTTTATTTAATTAATTCATTTAATTAAAATTTTCAGTTTGCAAAATTACAAAATAATGACTAATGCACCAAAGCTACACAGATCATCTCACATAATTTTACACTCGTCTAGCGTTCATAATCAGTTTAAAATACTCATCCCAGTGTGCGTCGCTGTCAAAAGAGTTGATTGATAAATACTATTTTCCGAAGAAAGAGTTTAATTCTAACGATTTACTTTAGAGAATATTGGGAGTGAATGTGATTGAATGTGTAGAGATTGAAAATGCCGGTTTAATTAAAATTACAATAACGTAACCTATTAACTATTTTAAATCAGGTTAATAAAATGATAACATTATCTTTCTTTTTCACAAAAGAACAATTTTCTGGCTTGTTGAATGTATATTAATCCACGTAGATTTATTGGATTTTCCTTGGAGTAATATTTTTAAAAATTACGCCTAGAGCTCCGTATACTACTCGTATTTTCCGAAGAGTGAGTTTAATACTAACGATTTACTTTAGAGAATATTGGGAGTTAATGCGGTTAGAGATTGAAAATACCGGTTTCATTAAAATTACAATAATGTAACCTTTAATCTATTTTAAATCAGGTTAATAAAATTAAAAGATCGTTTTTCTTTTTTCACAAAAATGAAAACTTTGTGGCTTCTTTGATGATTAATCAACGTGGATTTATTAGATTTTCCTTGGAGTAATATTCTTAAAAATTACGCCTACTGACTCTCGTAGGTGAAAATCTAATATTGTCATTCCAGCGTAAACCAATTTTACATCAAGTTTGGAATTGATCCTTTTTCGGTACCAGGCCTTATTTTCACCATATACTATTCGTACGTAGTGTAACCTTTAACTGTCATGTGTTTTAGATATCAAGATCCAACGAGTCGCACGTTACCTTAAAGGACCTGACTCTGGCTAGTAGTGGACGATACAGATGTGAAGTCTCAGCGGAAGCTCCTTCCTTTCAAACAGTATCCGACCACGGTGACATGCTTACTGTCGGTGAGAGTAACATGGGTTGTCAGTAGATCGCAAAGTCTATAACATCACACGTGACGTAAAACTTCAGTCAGTAGTTTATTTGCTAAGTCTTGTATGTTAATACTAACTTGAATTATTACGTTGCAAATGCATTAATTATTTATTTCGTATCATGGACATAGAAATAAAACCTTCGTGTTAGCATACTAGTTATCAATTCTCCCTGTTTTAATTCTTATGAACTATTGGATTTTAGCCCATACCCAAATGTCTATTATAATAGACAATAGATATTTCGATTTAAGTGCTTAAAAGTTGTAATCAAAGACTCTTACAGCAGAGTTTACAGTAGATCATTGATAGATTTGCTTGTAAAACGTGTTCTAGATTATTTTAAAAATACATATAACAAACAATGCAGCTATCTAACAAAAGCTTAACATCAGACCGGAGTTACCAAGACCGGAGTGGGATCGCACACTTGACAAACGATAAAAAATGGCAATGCAATGATAAACTTTAATTTAAAATTATGTGACTCTTTCCCCTATGAAATGCTGAAAACCGTTGAAGGGAAGAAGGGGCAAAGTCTACTTGGCTCCCTATTCCCCTTGGTGTCAAAAACTTTCAGATAGTATTTCAAGGTGACTAGGCCCCTTTCACCAACGATATTATACATAAAAAAATACGAAAAAACTAATATTTATCCATCTATCTCGATAAAAAAATTGACTTTGCCCCTTCTCACCCTTTCCCCTTCTTTGTTAATATTTTTCTTACTTTGAGTTAACTTGGCACAACTGTTTCCAGCTCTGCCAGAAGAAGGACCTCGTATTTCTGGAGGCAAACCTCGCTACCAAGTCGGAGACATCGTTAGGGTCAACTGTACCTCAGGCAGTTCCAAGCCCGCAGCACAGCTCATGTGGTTCATCAATGGAGAGCAGGTATGTCGATTATGTGAAATCTAAGTGCAACGTGAACAGGATTTGTATAGTATTGAGTCATCCGGTTTACCACATACTCATCAAAAGTACAGCGTTTTAAGTGTTGTTAAGACTTAAAAAAGTTAAAAAGGAGTACATCACAGTTATTTTTCGATTTGATTTCATAAAAAAGTAGCAGTAATATTAATTGAAAGTAAACCAATTCCATCTGGAATCTACAAATAAATAAGTACAATGGAAATCAATGTAACAAACATACGTTAGAAATATGAATATGCTTAGGCTTGTTAAAATTAACACATATAATGAAAATGTGGTAATATGCAATACTAGCTTTCTATTCAGTTGGATCCATCGTAATTTGCTTCCTAAGCTGTGCTGGCCGATAGTATTGCAGTCATTTTTTATATGAGGGCCCTAATATTACCAGTGTACTGTTTTAAATTTGATAAACCACTATTCCATCCTTTCCAATTTACATATAATGTAGTTATTGAAATATATTGATAGTTTAAAAAAAGTCTTCAACCATAGCACTTTATTCTGTAAACTATAGCATTGACTATACACCTCTCCCTAAATTATGCTACCACCCTGTATATAGCTAAATAGTATGCTATTTAAATAGTCCCAGCATTTAATTTTTTTAAATACACATGAAAAACAAGTTCTAAAGGAAAATGTAATCAATATTTACCTATATGCCTAAATCTACTCGTACGTTACCCACTGGTATGATAAAAAAAGTTTGTCACAAATTTAATAATCAATTGAAAGAACGTTAATGTAATATATGCTGTTTATTCGCAAATCTTTTTATTTTCTCCAACAATCTTTTTACCCTTCGTACCAAACACTTGTATTTTCTCAGGTGAACAGCTCCTACCTGCGCGGGCCGACTGTGCAGTTCGTAGGCAGAGAAGGTCTGGAGACGTCAACACTCGGACTGGAATTCAAGGTGGAAGCCAAACACTTCAAGAGGGGAGACCTGAAGCTGAAATGTTTGGCGACGATCGCTACTGTCTACTGGAACAGCAATGAGGAGAGTGTGGAGGGTGAGAAACCTCAGAGGTCACCAGCACTCGAGGTCAAGGACATTCCTACAGACAGGTCAAGGGCAGACAGAGTACAAGGTCAGTGACGCCTCCAGTATTTTATTTGCTAACCTATGATTTACTAACCTTGATTATCTATGATTTCTTCTTGGATATTTCTAATTCTAATTCCATCATTGATTTCGATAAAAATGCAATTCAAAGTTCCAAAAAACAATTCCCCAATCCACCTCCTAAACCAAATTCAAATTTCAATATTAATTGATTCCCTATTTCAAATTCAATTCTATAAAAAAATATTTTAGTGTTAAATGTTGTAATTTACTACCGTTATTATATGTTTTTTTTCCTATTTCTAATAAATGTAAAACCTAGGATACATAAAATAAAAACGGATGTAATAATGATTTGGATTCCAATAGAAGAAATGAGGAGTCCCAAGTTTCTGGGATCCAAAAACTATGTATTTTCGCTGGTCAATGATTTTAAATCTTTTATGGAAAAACAAGTATTGACAAACGTGTGCATTATGGGAATATAAAAATATTTTTCCTATTAGATCCTATTTATGTAAAAATTGTATTAATATTTTCCAAGGCAAACATGACTACAGATATAAAGTTTCAGATTAGTTCGTGAGATAAATTATCGGGCAGAAATGGAGTTTGGTTTTGGGCATTGTTAAACTTAACCTAGTTATGATAAAATACAAGTGTAGGTGATTAAAGGACATTCCGTGTCTTTTAAGCCTGGGTGACCTCTAGTTACTATGATAAAGATAATAATAATAGCATCACATTATTCTATTATTATGTGTTGTTTTGCCACAGCTTCCAAAGGTTGTGCATTCTACGCTTGCACGGGTCAAATCATTCTAGCTGTGTTGTTCTCCCACCTTACCGTCACATCGAGATAACAGGCTCCTATGGGACAACGTTAGAACAACCCTTGTAATATAAATCCCGCCTGTAAATAAAGGTTGCAACATGTACGTTATGTGGGTTTGTTTTAATATGCACTTAAACATAATTGGTAAATTCCACAAAATAATAAAGAAATAGTAACATATCAAGAGTTGCTCAGTAAAATATTATGTTTGTAGACAACACACTTAAATACTTATATTAATTCTCAGATTCGGAAAAAAATCGATGTAATTAATACACTGTTATTATATCTAAATCAATCAAGAATTGTGTCTATAGGAGGTAAGTCATTTTATTAATCATATAAAATCGAAATCTTCATCCTCTTATTATCTTTATTATTATATCTTTATCCTATCTTGAGACTTAACTTATTATAGCGTTGCGAAACACCGTTTGGAATCAGTTTTAATACCCTCACTATTTAATTATACATCATGTCGTTCACATAAAAATGTAACACTAGTCTTCAAACAAGAACTTTATACATCCAATTCCTAACTCGTATAATACAAGACACTAAACCAATAGACACCAAATACAAATGTTACAATGTAATTCAATCAATGCACAGATTTACAATTAAACAATTAGCTCTCAAACCATCACAAGATAATAAAAATCAAATTGTTTACCGACGTCTAAAAGTCTCAAAAATTGAACATATTACACTGTGAGTTAATACAAGAAGAATATAAACCAGCTCAATCAGTGAGAACCCCGTTAGGAACGGTAAATACATTGAAACACTATGAAGATTGCCCACTCAAAGAATTTTAGAGTGGCCTCCTCCAATCCAAGGTCACGCGGTGAGACAGACGTGGCAACGCCGCACCTCCGGCCTACAGAAACAGCTGATCCACTAATGCATCAAGGAGCGTCTACACGTTGATGCTTACACGTTAGTTGTACTGTTATTACAATAGCAACAGGCCAGCCGGTGCGACGTTGCCAACCACCAACGCGGCCCTTGTATTAGAGGAGGCTATGATTGTAGGGAAGACATCGGAAATAAAATGTATCCAACCGCATTAACAACTTCAATAACTTAACATGTGTTCTCTAACTCTGGATTTTTAACTATTGAAACACCCACCTAAACGATGAAGGAGTCATAATCACAAAACAAATAGCATTCAACAAGAAATGTTAAACATATAAACATCACCTAATGATTTTGTATTAGTAATCGTATCTAAGTGAAATATATCAATATTGTTTTGTTAACCAAGAGCGTATTAAAACAAACCCAGTTTTTTGCTATACTTATATTATTTTTAATCGAACATGTGATTAAGATTATTATAGTTACCAGCATTTTTGTAAATATGCACTTACAAAACACAATGTTTGTAGTTTGAAATAACTCACCGATAAATTATTATTTACACATATACATTTTACAGGTTGATGTATCACGTAACTTAACCCCATCTTGTATTATTAATAAAGGTTTAACGCTTTTATATTGAAAAATCTAAATGTAGAATTCATCAGCAATACAAGGAAAAAGTTACAATTATTAATTTATTGAAACTTTTCTGTTTGTTACGGAATTTGTGATTAAATTCCCTACTATATCTTTTATTTAGTCTAAATTACTTTCAAATTATTTGTCAAATATTTTAAATAAGTATGTGTTAAGTATTTAAGCTATTTATTATTTTAAATAACAAATATATACAGGGTGACAAAAAAGTCTGGAAACGGCTTAATAACTTTTTAACTAAATCTGTTAGAAAATTTAAAACTTTCCCATAAACTTACATGTATGAAAAATACTTTTTGCAAGCATTACCATTTTTTGACCTTCACCAGGGGACGGCCCATGAGGAGTAGGTACATAATCTTTAATGTAAGCATAGGTTTATATGCATATCATTTTAAAGGTCTGGTCAAGTGGAGTTCATTGCCGGAAACCGCTTAACAAAAGGTTCAACCGTTACAAAATGGCGGCAGTCCTAAGTTCTTGCGAAAAATACCTGCACAGGCCTTAGTATTGGTAAATACTCGTATTAAACATAAGCTTGAGAGCTGAAATTGTATTTAAAAGTCAACTAGCTCATAGACTAAGTTTATTCGATCTTCAAAACAAATTAAACTGGTTTTCTAATTTCCCGGCTAATGTTGAGTATGAGTATTTACCAATACAAAAGTCTGTGCAGGTATATTCCGCAATAACTTAGGACTGCCGCCATTTTGTAACGGATGAACCTTTTTTGAAGCGGTTTCCGGCAATAAACTCCACTTGACTAGGCCTTTAAAATGATGTGCATATCAACCTATGCTTACATTAAAGATTATGTACCTACTCCTCATGGGCCGTCCCCTGGTGAAGGTAAAAAAATGGTAATGCTTGCAAAAATTAGTATTTATACATGTAAGTTTATGTGAAAGGTTTGAATTTTCTAACAAATTTAGTTAAAAAGATATCAAGCCGTTTCCAGACTTTTTTGTCACCCTGTATATTTACAAAGTAGTAATTTGTTCCTAAATACAACTTTTTAACCCGAGTAACAAATAGATTAACTATTTTATCAGTATTATCTACGAACTATTTTTATCACGCTGTCCTCCAAATGGAATTAAATGTTGAGTTTTAAGGCTATGTCAATATTTATAATATTTTAAACTGTACATACCATTGCTCAAGATGCAGTTAATGTGGGTATCTCTATGTAGGCTTAGTATTGGCGTTCGGGTGACATTTTCACCTGTGGCCACAAGTTGTAAATATGATACATGTAAAAGAAATATCTTGTTTGCGGTGTTTATGATTATTGTTGATCAGGGTGTTGAAGCTTGATTATTAAATCGTATTTTCAAAAACTGTTTGTCTTTTATTTAATTTTAATCCCTAAATTTGGCTTAGCGTGAAATACTTAGAAAGTATTAGGGATTTGGAAGACATTGTCATTTGACTATTGGGTCTGGTAATAATTGGAGAATTCGATCAAAAAGTAATATCTTAATATTCCTACATAAATTATTCATCTTTTATATGTATTGTGATACTTAAATTACTTGACTTATCTCCTGTAGCTCCTTGCTAGGAGAATAGGGTGTCCAGAAGAGCTCGCCACCCAACCCCATCTTGTGCCAGGTCCCTCAGCTGACATTCTTTCTATGGTGACAGCCTTCTTCTCCAGGTGCTGCAGGGTCTTCCTCTCTTTCGTGTACCTTGCGAGTAAAGCCTTCTTCTCAATGGCAGTGTGGGCCTTTCGATGGTTGTTTTATAACCGTCTGAAATAATCGTCTTGTGACTTCATGGTGAAAGTGAAAATATTTTTTCAAGAATAAATAGACTATTTTTATTTATTTTCCACAAATTCAGGTACAACGCTGCTCAAGAAGCTTGTTTGGGTGATGAAAAATATTGCTATTTACATACAAAAAGAGTGAAAAATAATTATTCGTGTTTTTATCTAATAATCCTTAACTTATATCTCTTTATGTTTAAAAAGTAACGAACCAACCTACAAATTGAGAGTGGTATAAAAAGCGAAGTCGTAAAATGTATAAAATAACATCACACGTACAATATTGCCGGGTTTATGGAAAGTAACTCAACTTCTTTATCTGATCCCTGCTGGCGTGACCAAGTCAGTTTATTAGGCCAATTTATTCCAAAACCTTCATTGCGACTCATCTATCACACATTTTGACGCATCGCCTGGAAAATTTCCTGGGAAGATTACACGTAATGTCCTTAACACTCTGCGGTTGGAAAAAAAACGAGTAGTAAAAATATACGGAAAGGGTGCTATTCTAGGACAGGCAAGAATCTGCACTCCCTTAAAGATGTAGAGTTAGATATTTTAAGTTATAACACTGTATATTATTATCAATATCTAATGTTAATCAAAATAGTTGTGCTCATTGTAATTGTGGTATGACTTTTGGTAAAAGGTTTTGACTTTAAATAAAATTCATTGTGGAGCCCCTTAACGGTTTAATTAGACTATTATTTAAGATACATACTGTTAATACTGTTAATACTGTTCTATGAAATGGCGACCATACAAAGTAGGTATTTTAAGCCAAGTATGAATGGAGATGAGTGTAGGATGAGTGGCGCGATCTTGTAGTCTTGTTAGTGACTAAGGCCGACATTCCTTAGACACAGCTGTTAATTAATAGCCCATACAGCTAATGGTAACTAAGGGACCTACAGTTTATAGTGGAATCCGAACCACAATTATTGCCTTGGTAATTACGAATTGGTCTAATTATCAGGATAGTACTGCGGATAGTCGTAGTACTCACCCGTGCGGACGTTAATCCACACCAGGGAGTATCGCATCCACAGTATATGCCTATAAATATCCACAATTCGTGACCTCCTAGTAGCTAGATTACAGGACGACGCCACCCGTCCCAGTCACACATACCTTTGCGTCCACAGTTAAAAAGTATGGTTAAACTCACTACATGTTTCACCTATACATAGACATTGTCAAGTGCCTATATATAGACACTTAAAGATCGTTTCATCCATTGCAGACTCATAAAGAACATTCACATAAAATACACATGTTCTTGATGAATCTGCAATGGATGACACGTTCTTGAAGGATCACTTGACAATGCCTATGTATAGGTGAAACATGTAGAGTTTGACCATACTCTTTTGAACTGTGGACGTAAAGGTATGTACCTTAAATAATAGTCTAAATCATTTAACTTAACAAAAGAAAATGTAGAGAAGTAGGTAACTTTAGTTACAACAGCTCACTTGTACTTTTAAGTAACACAATAGTCAATGGTAACAACAGTTAAACCTAAATTAAAGATTTAGATGCCATGTATTACAAACAATTGAGCAATGAGCTTGAACATTCATATTTTAATCCTTGGTCGAGAAATGCTACAATAGTATATAATTTCCTAATAGATTACAAATATTCAACTAAAACTACTAGTCCAGCAAAGAATGTATTATTTTGTATTGATGCCATTGCTAAGTTTGTATATTTATGTATGGCGAACCGAAATCACGTTTCTTCAGGCGTCATATTACAATATTCATAAGCAAACATAACCCGGCTGAATATATTGTAGCTGGCTTGCATAATGTGGCACTCCTTCCCTGGGTATAACACGGTACGAAAATCAACCATGGCTCCCCTTTCTTTAAAAATATGTTTGCAATGGATTTATTTGTACTTTTCAGTTTTATGTGTAAAAGTACTACCTAAAAGTACTTACCTATGTTGTAAAATTACTTTAAGACAACACCTTAAGTTAAAATGTTTCTCCATATATTTACTTAAACATTTAAAAATGGATTATAAATACTATAGTACATACTGTATAGTGTATACAGTGTATATAGTGTATACATACCACTAGCAACCACAAGATATGAACTCTTATGAATTTGAAGTACCACATTGATAAAGAAAGAGAGGTTGCTAAGAATTTCTCAAATAATAGACGTGTAACACAACAACGGGATGTAAATTTACTTTACACTTCCATATATATGAATTTATAAGATATTAAATGCTTTCAACTTATGTCCAGGTAGGTAAGTATGAATCACTACATCAAACCATATCTCTTGCACTTTAAAAATATTACATTACAATAATAAAATACTTAATATTATCATATTAATTGGTATGCACACACTGTAACGCAAGGCATTTAAACTGAATGATTAGTGCTGAAAAAACTGAAACGACATTTTAGTAATTAATACTACACATTGTTAACAAGTTAAATACGAATTCGCGCACGCACATACTCACAAACATGCGTATGCAACATGTTACACTTGAGGTAAATACTCTGTTCATATTTGAATGATTTTATGTCCATCAGGGTTATTATTTAATGAACAAAACTCTCTATATACGTTAGTATTTTAACTTGACAAAATAATACTATTTTTAGGTAGTTTATCATCATAATTTTGATGATAATTGATGAATGATGAATTTTGAAGGTTATGCCTATAACAATGAAAATGTATTTTTCACTTTATTTTGTAATTTTATATGCGGTAAATGGTAATCCTAAAAGTGTTTCGTATTAAACACCGATTTACAAAAATACACCTAACAAAAAAAATGTTGCACACATTTTAACAGTTGAAAATTTAAGTACTATATTCATTATACATTCATACACTCATTACACATTCATACATTGACATATTCTTTAAGTTTGCGCATTAGGTAGTTCACAGTAAGCATTCGCAAAATGTATACTGAGACACTATGTAAACACAGCAACTACGTTAGACTTGAAACTGTGCTGGTTTCCGTGTATTTCTTCACTAAGCAGCTTTGAAGTACTGAACATCACGCCACTACAAAACTTTCAACTAGAGTTTAGTTTCGTGGGTCTTAAAAAAACAGATTTTTAAAAGAAATAAAATCATAAAAAGGCACTCGTAACATATAGTACATAATCGTTAATTACTTGATCCGTAATGGTGGATATCTGGTTAACAAAGCCATTTGGGAAAAAAGATTTTATTCTTGATATTCTCTTTTTTCCCATAACTCTAAATTCTGGAGATTGGAAATTTACTTACAGAACATCCCGTGTAAACAAGAGTACACGTGGTT